ATGATAATATATTATCATAATTTTTATAATTTAGAATCATAATAATATATTATCAAAATACTAAGAGGATCATAATAATTTTAGTATGATTTATTTTTCTCAATAATATTCTTTCTAATATGTTCCCCACTAAATCGTGCTCTCATCAAAAAGAATCTTGGATCGAAATAAAAGGAATTATTAGCGAGACAAAAGTTTAGTAAGAACATCTACAAGTTGATGAGACATAAGAGATATGTAACTTATTATTTTAAACTTTGTTATGAACAAAGTGAAAATAGATAGTTACGTGATTCATTCAAAAGTGAAATATATGATTGTATATAAATATGTTGTTTCGATATTATCATAATATATAAATAGAGAATCAGATAATGTAATAAATAGTTCATATAATAATGATTGAATCTAATAAAATTTAGTAGTTGTAAAAATAATTGCTCGATATTTAGCCTTCGTAGAAGATCTTGCAATAGAGCATTATTTCTTGGAACTTGAAGAGATTGGATTATTACCAAGAAATATGACATGAGCACGAGTAGAAGATATATAGTAATATTTGAGGCATTACTGGTCTTGTTACCTAGGATAAAATGGGTCAATTTTTAAAATCGATCAATAACAACCACAATTGAGACATGATCGTGGGCTATTTTGAAAAGTCCAAAAATAAAATCTAAACTCACATCCAATCATGGTAAATACAAAATATGTAATAAGTTATATAGACCAGTATTATGTTTATGAGATTTTGATAATTTAATAAGTGCGACACTACAATACCACTCGAACAACATCTTATTTTAAGGAAGGTTAGTAAAATATATTCTCAACTAATGCAACGGTCTTGTCTCAACCTAGGTGACCTACTAATCCACCTATATGCATTTTCCAAACAAAGAAGTCTTAAAAAGAGTATTAGGAAACACATAATTTAGTAGATCGAAAAAAGTAACCATTCCAAACAATGAAGTCGGTATGTTATTAACTATTTTCATCTTAGACTTCTCAATATATGTGATTAAAGTCTGAACATTATGTATATTCTTTTAATCGCTTGAATCCTATGATCTTGTTACTCATGGTAGATAGGATTATGGAAATTCTACTAAAGACATGAATAGCTTTGTTATGAAATTAGAAAGCAATATTTGATTATTATTTTATTGATCGCTTGGCCATCCATACACATCTTCTATGACCCATCTTGTTTAGGGGTTAATAAGACAAGGACAACGTAAGGCTATGTCGTACAAAATCTTCAGCTAAAAATTCTTCAATTTGTTTGTTTTACTCAACTCTCTCCTTAGGATTCATTATATAACGGAGAAGATCGATAGTATATTGGATTTCTCACGAGGGTGATAGCTTATAACATCAAAAAAATTATCAAATAAGGACTTAACCTTAGGAGTTAGATCAGGAATGTTGCAAGAGCTAGGAATTTCTGTAGCAATGATAGTCACATAAGATTTATTGTTTGGGCTCTCTATTTTAAAAGATTTAGAATCTAGTAAGTGAGTCCCTTGGCGGTTAAGGCTTGTGGAGGAGACTTGAGAGTTCTTGATTTATCATATTCTAATTATTTTACTGGTTGCAAAATGATATTTTTATATTTGTATGGAAAGATATAAGTGTTTTCTCTTCCATAATTGGTAACATCAAGGTTATACACCCAAGGTCGACTTAAAAGAATGCAGGCAACGTCCATTGATAAGACATCATTATAAATCTCATCTTGCTAATTGCCTAGTTTTATTGGTACTAAGCATCTCTCAATAGAGTAGTTTTGTCGATCTAGACTACTTTGAATGGGTCAAATGTGACTCTGACTCAAGGTTTAGTCAGTCTCTTGATAGCATATTTTGATACTAGGTTTAGTCAGACTCATAGTGTTACCCTCAATAATAACCAATTTGTAAGTTTTTTTCTTACTTCGGATAAAAATATAGAAGATACTTATCCTCTTCTATTCATTGGAATCAGTAGAGAGAATAATGCGAACAACATTAACTTATGCATCATCAATTTCTAGCTCATTTTTGTTACTTGAGTAGGCTTCGAGTTTGACTACTTGGTCTACTTCCTCAATTTAATCCTCTAGTTTTTGTTTTAAGGTAAAAGTATGTTGAGGACAATGAGAGATACTTTGACCTTTACTATGACAATAATGAAATTGGATTGAAGATGAATTAGTTTAAGAATCAATAGTTAGACAAGTTGGACAATTTATAGTTGGGCCAAAATTATTGCTAGTAGTGGAGATTTTTGACTTAACAATGCCACTAGTTGGGGTAGATTGGGTAATAGTTCTATTGTTAAGAGACTAAGAAGATACTTAACGAATTGAATAAAGTTTGATGTACTTCTCAGTCTAAGGACTCGTAAGAAAGCTTTTTCATGGTGTCGAGAAAACTAAGGGAGACTTTCAGTTGGATGTCAAACCTCAATCCGTTAATAAATCTTTGGACAATGATGATTTGATCATCTTCTATTTCACACCTAAGTAAAAGTTCCTCAAATTGGACTAATTATTATGCCACAATAGGTTTAACAATTATTTAATCAATTGGCTTAGAAAGTAAATTGATAATTATTTTTTTAAAATTTTTTTTTCATGACTTCCCGTTGAGTGATGAGAGGCTCTCGACGATATTCGAGATTATGCTAGACATGTTATCAATATTTCCCAATGGACCCTACCAATTTCATTTTTGCAAATCGTATATATTCAATATCAATCATTTCATACTACTCAAGGGAGTCTTTCATCCTATCTAACTAGTTAGTAAACATATTTGTCAAACTTACCATCAAAATCCAACACATTTACTTTGACTCTTCTAACCATTTTCTCTAAATTGTCAACAAATCGAACTCCTTGGCTCATTACTTAGGTTAGTGGATTTATAGTAAATTCTAGGAATTCATCATTAAGGTCAAAGGCTTGATCATCAAGAATTATTAGGGCATAATTATGAACAAATGTCTTGTAGGTGGACCTAGGATTTATTCGGGCTTAGGAAGTAGATAAAATTTCTTGATTTGAAGCTATGGATTGTGAATAATAAACATATTGTCTAACCGACTCATCAACATTTTCATTTATAAATTATTTTTTTAAATGTTAGAGAATCATTTGATTACATAATTGGCTCAACATTGTGTCATAATTTATTGGCTTAGTCCTAAGGGTATCTACCTCACTTCTGGTTTAGAGGTTCATCAGGATTTATTTGATTTTCACCTTATCGAGTCATAATTCTAATACTATCAATAGATTACCTTATGATAATGAGGTTATTAATTGTTCTAATGGATATATAATGTTTCATATAGTTCTTTTTTTTTTACAGTTTTATTTTATTTTTTAATAACTTTTAGTGGTACTAAAATGTTTCAAATTTTAGTGGAACTATAGTTGTAACTAAACAAAAGAGAGAGGATGATAAATATACAAAAAAAACAGGGGGAGGGGGAGAAGTGATGAAAACCATGATATAATGAAATATATAAAATCTTTTCATAAAATATATTATTAAATTTTTCAAAGGATCCTTATTTTATGTTAAAAATAAGATAATGATTCCCAACAATAATATGTTAAAAAATTAATATATTTTTAAAATTTCAAAATATGACTTACATAATACCTAAATAATAAATAAGTGTGCTTAATATAAAGAGTACACATAATAAGCTCCTAGAAAGATCAAAAGATTTTTTTTAATTTTTAGCTTAACTTTTAAAATGTTTAGATCAACTAATTGACGATTTTTTTTTTATTTTTTATCTAGAATAAATTTTGTGAAACTTTTTGTAAAGCTGAAGATGATTGATTTTTCATTACACAAAGGACATGTAATTATTATATCTAACCTGTTTCCCTGTTTAAGAGCAGTATTGCAAATGCATTGCTTGTGGAAAAAGAAACTCATCAGACAAATTATTCAGATAAAGCTGTAAAGATACCTCCCAATGGTCAAAAAAATCTGAAAGATTTTACAGAATTATTACATGTAAATGATAAGCTGCTTCCATAGTTAATTCTCTCATTATGATAATACTTTCATCAAATTCTGTAGTTAATTATCCCCAGAGTTCATTCATCATCAAAGATAAATTTATAACTTCAAGCACAAAGTCAAAACTAAGCACCTCATATTTTTCAGCACTACCCTACCTGCTTCAAGACTGGAATCTTACCAAGAACATACTCTACAAGCAAAGAACACACCTGCTCCACCAATATGCTGGCAGCAACTTAGAGAATATGAAAGGTTATCATGGCTCCAATGATGACACAAGCCATATTGCATCACCTGCTCTAAATGATAGACAACACAAAGCTCATCAGAAAGGTCAACCAGCATCACAGACAGTCGAAGCAAAGCTAAAGGCCATTACAATTTGCCACTTGACCAAATCACCAGGATTAATCCTTTCTAATTTCATAGAATTCAGCAGGTCTATGCAAAAGACAATTTCTTGGCAAACCTCATTAAGAGAGTTCACAACAATAAATAGCAGAAGCATAAATCTGTGATACACTAATTTTGCTAAATCAAGAGTTCTAAGATGTAGCAATGCACACATCTTTGGATGCAAATATGATTGTGAAGTATCAGAGCAAGAGCTTAGCCCATGGATACACCACCAGCATGCACAAACTTTAGGAACAAAGAAATGGGGGTTTTGACAATCACTTATACTTTGATCAAGCATAATCTACAATGATCATGAATAGACTTTTGAGCCAAGGTATAAAAAGGTTTTCGACAATGCTTTGTGTATGAACTCATGAAATTTACAGATAATAATACTTCCAGTCCTTCAAAACTGAAATCATGCTTTCTTTCAAGCTGATGCAAATAACAATTTACAGATGTCAATCTAGCTGTGCTTGGATCATCTATCTGCAAACATAGTTACCAGTATGGATCCATTTTGGCTTCAACAAGAATAGATGAATTGACAAAGATGAAGCATTGAGATTCCGATGAAACGACACAAGCGATGTGATCAATTATGTAATATAACTAATCACAGAATAGGGAATCAACATATTACTGCCCGAACAAATATCGAAATGTATTTTCTATTGAACTATGTCGACCTTCATTTTATTGATACACACTTGTTAATGCCCTTTACACTATCTCCTATACCGAAAGGGCGCCTCTAAGTATCTCCATTTACACAAATGAATGCAGAATTATGATGCCTGCTTCGAACCATCTACGTAGACCTTAGACTGGATGACTGTCTTGCCGACATGAAACCCTGGAACGACAGTAAACCCGACCTTTGGCCGTGAAGCCCTCCCGTGGTCGATGCGCATCTTGTCAACCTTGCGAACGATGTTCTCCATGAAAACCATCGAGAATTGAGTCCCCCGGGCTACCTGAAAGATTTCCACCACAGGGTCGTATGCCCAGGCCAACTTGTGAAGCATCCACACTGAGCTGGCCATGCTCACAAATGGCTCATACAGAGGACTAGTTTGTCTCAGCGAACCTAATGATGACTCTGCCGTAGCTAAATTCCTCAGAAGAGAGGACTCGATGCCGGGATGGATGAGTTTCGCATACTTCTTCTGGCAGAAGTTTGCGAAATCACAGGTTGGGAAGTCCCGCATTAGCTCGATCGGATCGAGAGCGGAATGCTCGACGAATTGTTGCAGAGAATCATTCCTCCGAATGGTTACATCAATGTCATCCAACTCGACGCGACTCCCATCGTCGCACGAGTCATACGAATCGAACCCTTCAAAAATGCCCAAGCAGATGTAGGAGAGGATGGCGTACCGGCAGTGCCCGGGCTTGGCGTAATTCACGTCTGGGAAGATGCAATTCGCCGCCGCACCCAGATCCCACCCGGCCATCTTCATCAGATCGACCAAGATCCGGGCGAAGCGATGCGTCAGCCGGCAGGTGTCCCTGAGCACCGAGTCGAAGACGCCGACCGTGAGCAGCGCCTCAACCTTCTCCTCGGGAGGCATGCATGCGCGCTCGAGCCGGTCAGCGAGCCGCGCGCCGACCGCGTCGAGGTCAGCGAGCGCCTTCTCGAGGGCAGCTGCCTCGGCATCCTTGCGATCGATGTCGGACTGGAGACGGTCAACGACGGTCTCGAAGCCGCGCAGCAGGCTCTGATTCTCCTGCACCTGCGCCTCCAAGTGGGAGGAGAGGGGAAAGGGGGGACTGTCGCCGGGGCAGAGGTAGGAGCGCCTGAGGACGGAGAGGCGGCGGAGGTGGGAAACAGCGGCGCGGTCGGCGGAGCGGAGGGCGTCAGGGAGGAAAGGCGAGTGGGCGGTCTGAAGGTGGAGGTAGGCGGCCTGGAAGGACGAGACGGCGGCGAGGGCGGCAGCAGCGAGGGTCCGGGGGTCGGTCCGGGGAGCCGGGTCGGGCTTGAGGACCACCACGCGCTGGCCGGTGATGACCACCTCCCGGCCAGGGTCGGTAGCGAGATCGACAGCCTCCGCCTCCTCTTCCTCCTCCTCCTCCTCGGCGAAGAACTCGATGGTCTTGGTCTTGAAGGCTAATGCGAACTTCTGAAGCATCTCTCTTCCTTTGCGAGACGAGCCGCTCTGCTCCTCCCAACTCTGCTGCGGGTAATATATGTCGGGATTTGTTTGCGGAGGGGCTGTTGGTGGGTGAGCCAAGACGGGGGGCGGAAGTGGATCTCAGGAAGCCCCTTAACGAAAAGAGGTAAGAAGGTTTCCGTTGTCTTGCTGAGCTGTGAGTGGGAATGGGCCCACTCTTCCGTTATCTCTCCGTTAACGCTGGCCTTTGGTCACATGGAAACGCCCCCAAAAAAGTAGAGCCTAAACGATGATTACTTCATCCTATGCTTAGCCTAATCAACCAAAGATTAGGTGTTATCTGCTTGTCCGCAATCAAACCTTGTCGTCGCCTAATCAATGCAGATGGCCACATCGTTTCCATGTCAGGTCAGCATTTATGTGTTATTTAATACTCTCTCTCTTCTCTTACACTGAATATTTTTTTGGGGGATTGAAAGAAAGAAAGAAAGAAAGTATGTATGAAGGGACTATTACTGGGCAAAGTGTAAGCTCGATGATGTTGTGGATTCTCCATCGTCTACGGGTTTCCAATGGAGGAGTGTCAGAGTGCTTGGCATCATCACAATGAATGAGGAGTCTGACACAAGAAAGAAGATAAGCTGTGCCAAAATGATTGAAGGATTGGCGTCGCGTTCGAACAAAGGAAGCGTATGGCACAGACGGGAAAGGACATGTAAACCCAAAAAAACTAATAGCAAGTGTCACGATGTCTGCATTCATTGCCAGCGTGTTAATGATATATTATCTTTTTTATAATTAATTTATTTTAATATTTTTTAAAAATTATATATTTTTTTATATTTATAAAAAAATTAATTCGTATATTATCATGTCATCATCGATTTATAGAATTAAATGTCTCACTTTCATAAATATAATGATCAATTTTATTGACGAAAATATCATATATAAATTAATGTAAATTATCATTTGCATGCCTATAAGAATTTCTTTAATCAATTGTATGCTCCTTTCCTCTCATATTTATAATCTTTCTATCATTTGGATCCTTAACAGAATTGAAAAGTTTATTAGAAATTGATTATTAAATCAATTTTTGTTAATCCAAATTTTATGAATTTTGAGTTGATTGCCAATTGATTTTTGGAGGATAAACATTGGATTTCTGATTGACTTTATAATCTAGAAAAAAATGTAAAACCATCATATAAGATATCAGCTTTCTCTCCATTTGATCAGTGGAGGAGCAAATGGGTGAGGCAGACACATAGAACAAGTGGCACCAACAAGCCCCAGTTCTAAGGTACAAATCCATCTCACATAGCCCTGTTTGACCTTTCAAATTGCAGTTCTTTGATGCTGTGATGAAGATGACTATCTTGTTCAGATGGCAATGGAAAATGCAATAGCAGAGGGTGCATGAATTTGGACAGAAAGAATGAATGGCTTGTCCTCCCAGAACCCAAAACCAAAAAGAATAACATAAAATCCATAAATACCCACCCACAACAGTGTTTGCATCAAGCAATTCCAACCAGGAGAAGCATCAGCACCAGTAACTCGGAGGTTCGATATGTAGCTGAAGCAGATGAAGCTTGCTTGTGGTGAGGAGTCTGCTCACTGAAACAAGTCCAAAACGACGAGTGCAGCAATCAGCTTTTGTGAGCGAGGAAGGTAAAACCTGCAAAAGAAATGGCGTACTTTTGGTACTTCTGGAGACGACCACAGTACAGAGCATTGTCCGGAATTGGCAGCTCTGTTTTGTTGGTGTTTTCTGGATTGATGACTCTTACGTACACTTCCTGGCCGAGATACCATGAATCCAGATTCTGTGCCCTCACGTTCCAGATTCCTACGTTGTCCAGCGAAACCAAGATTGCAGTCCATGCTCCGGGGAAGACCTAAGCATCATCATGTCACAGGCTCAACATTTCTCTCTGTCCATCATCGTGCTGTAAGAGAATGAGAAGTTTCAATGGTCAAAACCTGTGTCGAGCAGCGGGCAACACCATCTCCCTTATTGTATGTTCCTCTGCTTTCCTCTGTCCACTCCCCGTAGTCCATCCTGCCATGAGAGATCCATGTTATTGGAGGAGGAGAAATGGAGTGCACGAAGAACTACCCGCACCAATTCGCATACCCAACCACAAAAAATGCATATCCATCCATGTGGTACGTCTGAACTTTGGTGTCATTGTTCTGAAATATGATCTCCATGAATCCCCGGTAAGTTCCGTTGATCAAAGATCTCCCAGTCTTGGGCGCTCCTTTGAGAGGCCTGCTGGGGAAATCAAGCGTGTAAACCCCCTTCAGCTTGTACTCGTCCGCAAGCCTCAGTGGTGTTTCCGGAGGAGAGTACGAGATCCCATTGAGCGTGGCTCGTCGTTTTCCATTGATCACCACCGGCGGCTTGTTCTTCAGGACGTACACCTGAGACACATTGATCGATCCGTATCTGAACGATCCCTGAGGATTCGGCCGCGCCGCGCCAGCACTCAGATTCCACCTGATAACACACGCCGCAAAGAAGTGAGACGTCAGTGTCGAGTTGCTACTTGGATTCTGCCATTGCAGACGAACCTGATCGATCTTGCTTGATTCATCGAGAAGGTCTTGTCGTAGAAATCGTTGGGTGGGTCGGGAAGAGGGCCGGAGGCTTTGCCTTTGGAGTCGGAGTAGTGAAGGATGGCAACACCCGTGACTCTGCTCCAACGAGACTCGTTCACAAACCTAGCGCTCGCGACGATGTAGTAATCGCTGCTTGCGTTCTGATCCATGGTGACCAAGAACGAGTACGACTGCCCCACATGGACGTCCAAGTTGGTGTAGTTCTGCTGCACAGTGTACGATCCCTCGGTCTCCACCAGCAGCATGTTGTGGTTCTGAATCCTGAAGTTTAAGCTGGTGGAGATGCCAACGTTGTGCACACGAAATCGATACGTTTTGCCTGCTCCAAGCTCGAGAACAGTGAGGGATGTGATCGCTCGAAGCTGCTAATAGAAGAGACGAGATCTATTACCAGGATGAACATGTATGGTTTCGTAGTCGATGCCATCAGGGACGAGCGTCTTGTTGTATCGATACGGACCCTTTCCGTTCATCAGGACGCCATCGGGCATTCCGAGATCCTTCCCGTCGTCGAGGGCCTTTCTGAGATCCTACGCAGGGGAATAGCTTGGTTAGGGAGACGTTGCATTGATGGAGCTGGCGACTGGGTTGAGACTACGTGCCTTGTAGTCCTTGTTGTACCAGTCTCCAACGAAGAGGGTGATGTCACCATGGGGCTTGTCGAAGGGCACCGCGATCACGTCGCGGTTATTGATGATGAAGCCTCCGTAGCCGCCCGCGGCTCGCTGGAAGCCGATGGAGGGGAAGTAGAAGAAGCTGCCGATCTGGTCCTTCACCTGGAACTGGTAAGTCCAGTTCCAACCTGATGGGATGGGGCAGTTTGTGCCCAACACCCCATCTTGCCATGAGTTCTTGCGCTGTTGGATGCCATTCCTTCACGCAAACCAAGAACATGGTGCTGTTACATTCCTGGACGGACTACTCGGTAATGATGGAGATAGAAGACGAAGCTGTACCATGTGATCAGCAGAGGCTCGTCTAAATCGTTGAGAACGTTCACGACGACGTTCCAATTCGTGGTGACATTGACGACGGGACCTGGGAATTGCCCGTTGATCCCAATTACCTGCCACCAACCGGCACAAATAGCCATAGAAGTCAATAGAAATCGAAGGAAATCTTGAAACCAGTATTAGCTGAGATTTGAGCTCTATGGTCCAGCAGTTGGATTGTGGCCTTCACGAGAGAGAGAGAGAGAGGCCATGGTTTAGCTCAGATTCTTTCCGGAAGAAGCAAAAATGGAGCGGATCTAACAATTCGATACTTCACAGAACAACAGAGGAATGCAAGTATCCTGCAACAGTAAACAACTGGAGACCGAAGAGAGGACCTGCTGCTTGACGCCGAGAGGGGCGGCGTTGATGAAGGACACATCCCAGTCGAAGTAGGCGTAAGGATCTGCGGCGAAGCAGGGAACCACCATCACCAACGCCCACACCGCCAGCAGCGGTAATGCCACGGCCGGGAACGACCGACGCCGCTCCATTTTCATTCTATATACAGCCAGCAGTGTCGTGATGTGCTCGAAGGCAAACAGAACGGTGAGAGTGATGAGCTACGGAAGACGAGCCTGCAGCTGCAGACCTGCAGAAGTTGATGCAGAAGAGAGAGCAGAAAGAGTGGCAGTGATGAGGTTGAAAGTTGAGACAAAAGGAAGGAGCAGGAGAAAGAGGCAGTCACAGTGACAGCATGACACCCGCTGCCTTTCTCCTCGTCGACTCGGCCGACACAGCTGTGAGAAGTAAGCCAAAAGAACAGCATTTGCGGCCGAGCCGACGCACCTGCAAAGACTAGACAAACCTGTGGAAGCTACTCCGTCGGCGGTCAACGACGCGGAGCATCGTGTCGGTTGCTCGCGTGGCTTCCTGTGGTTGGAGAACGAAGATGGTTGGTGTTAGAGCTCGTGCAAGCCAGTTGTGGGTGGGGCCCGGATGAACAGAGAAGCCTGGTTGGAGGACTAGAGCGCCAGCGAATCGCCAGCGGTGCCGTTGGATCGGCTGCTCGGCTCACGCGGGATTCCACCCACGGACGGTGCCGGTGTCGAATTAAAATGGGTGGAAACGGGTGTTGCGTGTCCCGAAGGAGAGAGCAGAGCTCAGGATCATCGGAGGGGGCACGTGCTGCCGCGATCGGCGCCCGGCCATCCACGTAGCGTGGAAGACTGGAACCCGTCACCGACCGCGATCACGTTAGAGGCATCGCCTCTCGTGGTTGATCGGACGGCTGTTCTGCGCGGAGAACAAAATGATGGCGCCATCAAAACACGTGCATGCGCGCCGCCTCATGATGGCGAGCCTACATGCATGATCACGCATGTCGCCATGTTTCCCTCGGCGTCCAAGAGGACTTCCATGATGCATCACTCCCATTCTAAAACTTAGTAAGTGTAAATGACCGACCACAGATATTTAAGATCAAATTAATAGTACTACATCCATTAATCTCTTATGAATCAATCAATCTACTGAGTGTTACATGTACTCTGTTCATAAAGTTGGAGGTGGAAGATGAGAAGGTCTGCTGCCAACCTCCGTCTCGAATGTAATCTTACAATAGTCACATGGGAGTCTCTTAGTCAATCCCTTCCGAAGGAGTAACCACGAAGACTGCTGCTTAAATATATGACATAACAGTAACAATTCGCATAGTGGCTTCAACATCAAAGGTTTTATTACACAATGGATGAGGTAAAAAAGTTCTTCAGAACAAGGAAAACCCAAAGGTAGAACGGTATGCTGCTACTAAGTTCTATCGAATTCACCTGCATGCAAGTTGGAGAGACCCCTTCACTGTTGAAGATCATTCTTGATATTGGTAATTCACTGATTCTTGCTGAGGTGGTCTTTGGTTTCTCTTAAAAAGGGTTGGTTATCAAATACCAAACATAACAGCAACTCGGCAGGTGCAACTGCATGAAGTAAATTTACTAGTCCGAGGAAGAGAGCAACTCTTTTCTGCAAGCTTATTCAAAGGATAACTAGACATTAGGAGGTGGCCATATTTTCCCAAAGAGCTCCTCGACACGCTTAGTTTGATTTGCATAACCTTCCAACCCTGCAGCAAGGAGCTCTTTCGAAGCAGGTCCCATGGCAGACGAAAAGCTCGCTTGATCCCAGTTCACAAGCTGCATCAATAGAAGAGGATGAATTATGCAGTGTCGTATCTTCAGAAGAGCTATCCTATGTTGAATGAGTTCAGGGTGTTTGCTTGGTGGGCTTCCATGGTGTTACACCTATTTGTATTCTGTTTTTATATATTGTTAAAATGCAGGAGATTAACACTAATTGGCATCTCCTTTTCCATAAGAAAGAATATTGAGTTTAGAGTGCTACCACAGTTAAAGTATAGGCTGTTCCTGTTAGTCGATAAGAAATGATACCAAATGCAAAATCAATCAATGGATAAACAGACTATGTAAAAGAGAAACAAATAAACACTTACATTCAAGTGTGAATGAAAGATAAAGATTTAAGTTCTATTGGTGCTTGAATTTTAAGAGGCAAAAATATGGTTTTAAAATTGCAGGATATAAGAATTCAATTAAAATTTATTTATAGAACCAGGATGTAATTTATTACACAGTAATCTGGCAAATACTCCTGGAAGAAGTATTTATGGATAAAAATGTTCATGTAGTAGGATTTCTGTAGTGCAGTAGCATTTTCTAATATGCTCATATTATCTTTTTCTCAATCAAGTACCAACATATCAAGTTCCAAAAGAGTCCAAGATTACCTCTTCTTGACTAAAATTGTATGGCATGGCTGAGCTAGGAGATAATTTCCTCACAAACGAGTACTTTTCATCTGGATAGGTGATTGATTCTTTTAGAGACTGCAATATCTTCAAAGGCGCAATCATATAGTCAACTCTGAACACCAAAAGGAATCTTGCTATTAGCATCAACATCAACATGCATCACATAGTGAATATTATAAATCAGATATAGCTAAAAACTTACCCCAGTAGGCTAAATATATCCTGCTTATTGCGAATTGCAGCTACCATCAACTTTGATTTATGTCCATATTTGTGAATATAATTGTATGCTTTAGCCACCTGCAGTTAAATTTCACCGTGTTCTTAATAAAATTAATCTAACATATATCTTCTTCTTTCTACGTAGTTAGAACATTGATACACATATGTATAGCGCTCATAATATCATGAGCAAAGCTAGGAAAAACTACTAATTCACTATCACTGCTCTTTACTTCTTATGCTATAAATTCAAAGCACTCATAAGTGTAACAAAATCATCTTTTTTTTATTCATGTCCTAGCATCCAGCATTAGAAGCTTGGAGAACAATGGTCAGAATCAATACACATGCTGATTCTAGAACGTTGTACTAGCTGAACAATCACCACGGTTTTTGTCTAGTCTCAGTGGTTCCAAGGAAGACTGTTTAGTTCTCTTGGCATTTCCTTCTCGATCATCCGCAGTAGCATTCCAGAGAAAATACCGCTCATTTTTAAGCTCTTAATGGCCGGTTACCTTGCATAAGTATCAGAATAGGGAACAACCAACTAAAAGTTGATACTATAGATTGTTCGGTCAGCACATTCAGTAATGTGTTGAACAAAATAGTGAAAAGGATGAAGTTAGATTGTTAATATTCTTAGCACTAAAGCTATAGTATGAATCAACAAAGGAATAGGAGAAAACACTACAGAATCCAAAGAAGAATAACTTGACATAGACTGAGCATGAGAAACTCCCCAAGTTTAATCGTTAACTTATAACATACGGCTACAAAGATGAAAAACTAAAATAACAAAGCCAACAAGCACAAGAAATGCACTAAAAAAAAAAAAAAAAGATAATTCTAATAACTCCACAAGAACTCAATCATCCTCTTTGGAACCAAAAATTAGCTTTACTAAATTACTACCAATAGTGTAACCTGGATTCAAGATTTCATCTCAAACAAACAAAATCCCATTCTTGTAAGCAACTAACACTTTTGAACAAGCAAGACATGAATTAAAAGGAATTTAGGACAGCTTGAGGCATGAATCACCATCTAGTCCATGGAGGGATACCCACATGCGGGAAGAACTATTTCCAATCCAAATTAATCATGATCTACAAAAGAGCAACCTCTGAGGAGAATCTACCCATCATAAAATTTCCAAATAAGCATATACTCGTCCCTCTATATTATCTGTGACAGAGGCACAATACTTTCTTATACTTATTATTCCTTCATATATTATTAATAGATGATGTGCCAATAACCCATCTTTACAACAGATGGAGTCCTTGTCTGACTCAAGATTCCTCTATTAATTCAATGATAAAAATTATGATTCATCAGAACACCAAAATCTCTAGCAGCAAAGTCAACTATATCAATTGAATGAGAATGAATACATCAGTTGCCACCACAATCAGATTTCATGTGTTGTACGACAAAATGCACCTGAACTTCAGAACAATTTACAAAGAAGTTGCAAAAGTAAAAATAAAAAATATCATATAAAACAAACATAAGAAACGTCACCATCCAAGTACATTAGATCAATTGCATGCAAGCAGCTTTAAATATGACGTTGCAGAATCTTGGATAAATTTGATAAAGATAATGATGAGCACTTCATCGCAAACATGCATACATGTCTTGTTGAGATTTAAGGATGGAGGAAAGAATTTTGTTATGACAAACAAAAGGGACTCACAAGCTCTAATCCAGGATCTTCCCCTTTCCTGCAGATAGCATCTAGCTCAGGATCACCAGTATGATTTCTAGACCAGTCCTGCAATAAACTTTATCATGAGTGATTGTAATGAATGTGCTATAATATTCCTTGTATACAAGGATTACCCTAATGCGACCAACAAAAATTTGGATGACAGATGCACCCGCTTGTGCAGCAGCTGCTGCTTGAGGAAAGCTGCAATATTAAGATAAAAGGATCATTAAACCAAGCAAATTGAGAAACATATCAGTCAGATAATTCGTTGTATGGGCATCTAGAACATGATCATCACAATCTCCAAAAGTCGTAAGATTATAAATTGTGATTTACAGGATTATTTGAAGGTGTTCAGTACCAGAAAACTGAACCATTATGAATGAAAATTTCAGTAGCACAACATCAGAAAAGCAACAAAGCAGTAATATTTTAACTATCTCGGGTCGGCTTTATTGATCTTTTACCACCATTGAGCATAATATATCCTTAACTAAATTGAGAGTATTTAAATACTTATTTATAGGTTCTAGTAAGTTAGGCCTTCCTTTACTTTTTCTTGTACCATAAATAGCAATTGTTTCTGCTCTTCCAACTATATTTATAGGTCGCCTTAACAAGTGAAGAATTCAATATTTTTATAAATATACAACAATCTCAAAGTAATGACTAATGTTGATAAATAATTCTAAAAAGATCACAAAACTAGTGGTCCCTACTTATGACATTAGCTTGAGTCAGGCACATGCAAGGACATTTTGATTAGTCTCTTTGATAAGGGATCATGAACCAACAATATTTTAGAAAGCTTGAGTTTTGACTTCATCCATAAATTGTTAAAAATATATTCAGATTACACAAATAAAAAGCTTTGTTCAGTTGAGATGAATAGACTAGAACTAGTGGTGCCATGTGAATGGAAATCTATGAGAAAGTTAATAAAAAAGCAATAGAAAAACATTTGACTGCATATAATTTGGCTATTTATACTGCCTAAACAAAGCTTAATGGTGGGAGTTCATGTTGGCACTGAAGAGCTGGCACATTGATTTGTTAATCTTGTTGTTTACAAATAAAAAGCTCCATGAAACTTTCCATTTTCAGGTGCAAAGCAGCCCTATATTACATCGACATGAGAAAGTTCCAGTGAAATATTTTTTCTGATCAAGGATCACAGTGTGCAAGAAAACCCTACAAGTACCTGTAGACAAAGGTCAAATGTGTTTGTATTCCTTCAGATTCCAGTAACTTTGCAGCTTCTATGCCCTGAGAGGAACCACAAAATCATTGATGTCAGATAGAGAACAGGAACAGAAATACACCTATTCTTTTTCAAAGAAAAAAACATCATTGTATAACATAGTGTCTTACCTGCCAGGTAGATGGAATTTTGAAAAGCAGACGCTCTGAAGGTACCTCTAGTTCATAGTATAACCGTAAAAGACGATGAACCTGTAGCAATACACACCAAATAGAAAAGGCAAATTATTAATACCTTCCACCATGATTATAACAAATATTGGGAAAAAATATATATAACAAGTAGACAAGCCAAAGTAAGTTGATTAAGACTCCTCGGACAACTTTCTCTTGCTTCCACTATTTAGAAATAACATTATACAGAATTTTAAAAAAATACACCTTAGAAAAAATATTAAGTGGTGGACAAATATACATTTCAGAGCTCTTACCTATTGTGACATTGGCTTTCAAATTCTTCAGAGTTAACTATATTACTAACATGCCCTTTTTCCAAAGATTTGTAAAGAAAAAGATAAAATTTCACCTCTAGCTTATTTGATCAAGAAACTGACTTTTTTGCATGGTCAACTTTATAATTTTTATTATGGGCATCAACACCCCCAAAAGATATTATGTTTATTCAACGTGAAGATTACCCATTAAGTTATCCCAAATCATATATATATATATATATATATGA